TAGAAAGCGGAGAAAAAATAAACATTAAAAAATACTGATACTAATAAATAAATAATAATAAATAATAAATAATATAATAATATAATAATATAATAATATAAAAATATAATAATATAATAATATAATAATATAATAATAAATAATATAGAAATATAAATATTTAAGAGTAAGAACGGATATACTAACTTATGCTGAACTCGTGAAATATGCACAGCTAAAACAGCAAATGCAATAAACAAGGGCACAATTTTTCAAATAAAATTGTTAAAGAAGGACCCATACAAGAGACAAATATGGATACTCTTGGATTAGATGTAACAGAAGAGACAAACACAATGTATGGCATAATATTTACATGTTTAAAGTGTTTAACCCTTTCAAGACGGTTTCTTTCGGTTGGTGGTACATATGTGTACGTAGTCTCGAAAGGGTTAATGTTATAAGTCTATATTAATATATTGCTATTAAAGCACATATTTGTATTTTATGGGAGTGAAGAAAACGTGGAAGATAAAGACAACACGTCCGCAGAAAAATTAATGCAGCTGTTAAAAAAAAAGAAAAGGAAATGTTACTGAAGGAGAAAAATGAACTATTGCAAGAAAAGCAGACACTTCTCGGAGACAATGAAAAGTTAAAACAACAGATGGAACTATTAGCAAAGACTGTGCACCAAAAATCTGAGAGCATTACACAAATGACCGTGAATAACAAAAAAGATGTTAAAGTATCTATACATATGTTGCAGAAAGTGTTTACTCCTGGACAAATAAAACTGTTATTATCTTCAAACACTAATACTCGCATAAAATGGTCTGCTGAAGATATCACATCTGCTATTGCTTTATGGGCCATAAGTTCAAAGGCCTATCGATATCTACGGAACGTAAACAAAATGCCACTGCCATGTATGACTACCTTGAATAATTGGGGTGCAACGTTTAATATTCCACCTGGTATTTTGACCGATGTGCTCCGCATTATGAAAGAGAAAGGGACAGAGAACAAACTAACAGTTTCAACATTTGACGAATTATATGTATATTTCTAATAAGATAGATTTACATCGAAAAGAACAAAAAGTGTATGGACCTAACAAAACCTGTCAATTCGTAATGACTCGAGGATTATTTCATTAATGGAAGCAGCCAATATATTACGAATTTGATAAGCCTATGTCTGCGCATGCTTTATTAACAATAATTAACAGGCTTTACGAAGTGCAATATATTGTTGTGGCTGTGACAAGTGACGTGGGGCCCATGAATATGAAGCTATGGAACGAATTAAACATAGTACTCGGAGACACAATATACAAGACACCATTCAAAAGCAACATTTTATTACACATCCTGCTGATAGTTGGCTAAAAATATTTTTTTTGCAGACGTTCCACATTTGTTGAAAGTGGCGCGGAATAATTTGTTGGACTCTTGCGTTACAATTAACGGTAGTAATATCGACAAAACATGTTTGGAAGAATTATTATCACTTAATATAGGAGAATTAAAAATAGCGTATGAATTAACCCAAGCACATTTGGACGTCAAAGGCTCACAGAGACAAAATGTAAAACTGGCTGCACAAGTATTTTCAAGTACTAATGCAAAAGCGATACGTTGGTGTGGCGAACAAGGTTTAATTAAGTCTCAACAAGGGAAGCAGACTGCTGACGTATACAAGGATTTAATGACTGGTTTGACTTGTTTAACAGCACATATAAGTACGGACATAACAACACCTCACATGCATATGGTATGCATTTAGAGGAACAAAATACCATTCTGAAAAATATTGTCACGCTCGCGCCGCGAGTCCTCCGCAGAAGTCTCTCCGGCACTCGCGCACTCACGCCACACACGCACTCTCAAGCCGCGAAGGAATAAAAAGGAGACGGATGTGGAATAACAAGTAACGTATATTAAGCTCCGGGTACAGCTCGGACACGTCCAGTCGATCGGAAGGTCCAGGAAACAATCAATCAGCGTAAATGTAAAGCAATCCCTTGACAACACAAATCAATAGTTGTTAAGGACCGATCCGCCTGAAGTTGAGAAGTAAAGCGGCGACATTCGTGCGCCGGGCGTAACACTTGCACACACGCCGGCACGCACGGAACGTCATCGAGTCGTCCCGATGCGGGCATAACACTGCCCCCCTTCTCCTCAGATTGTCGTCCCGACAATCTTGAGGGAAGGCAGCGTACAGACGGTCCCGATCTCCCGAAGGTTCCCAATTGACGTCCCTGGGGGGGGGGGAGTTGACCAAACTCCCCCTTCTGCTAACTCCGAGAAACCCTTCCACGGTGGGATCCCGCCCTCAGAATCCACCCTGTGTGGTTCCCGCCCGCCCGTTGCCGTCTTCAACTTCTTCTTTAGTGCATCCGAGTGTGCAGTCCTATCTTCAGACTCCCGAGTCTTCACTCTTGAGTCTTGATTCTTGTTTTCTTCGGACAAGGGGGGGAATAATGTCCGTGGACCTTAACGCTCTTAAAAAAGAAACTCTCCAAGTCCCTGCCTCGGCATTTGCCCTACTCCCCACGGGAAAACCACGGTCAAAAACCGCGGGAGAGGCAGTCTTCTTAAAAGGATTATGTCACACGAGGTAGGAGGGAAATCCTTAGATTGAAAGGCAGGATCGGAATTCTGTCTGATGGAAGGTCGAAAGATCTCTCGTCCCTCTCCCCCGATGAAAACAACTGCAAAATAACAGAACAACGAAACAGAAACAGAAATAATACTTAAAGGAAATTGATTTCCCCCCATTTTTTACTTCCTCATAGAGGAAGCTTTGTTTTCGTGAAAAAATTTTTTTCCAGTTTTCTTTGGCAATATGTTTAAAATGTTTTAAAACGTCTAAAAATCATATTTTTACAAAATGTCTGTGCGTGCGTGCGTGCGTGCGTGTGTGTGTGTGTGTATGTACGCATTTGAATGTCCGTGGTTGCTTTAACTTCCGTAAATTTTGAGATATCGGGCTTATTGTTTTTTTAAATGTCGAGAATCACTAAAGGAAGGTTGGTATTGATTTTTGCGATGATCGGTAAATGGGTTTCTTTTTGAACAAATCTTGAATTTTTTGAGAAATGTCTGTGGTTGCTCTAACTTTTGCAAATTTTGAGATATCGGGCTATTTCTAATTCCATTATTCTTTCCAGTCTTTTCTACCCCTATTTCATGTATATAATTGATTAATATTCGGTTGATTAGTTTTTGAGTTATAGATGTTTGAAATTTCATGGAATCCGTACATGAACACTTTTTCATTATACTGGGTGTTTCAAAAGTGATGCTACAAAATGTAATGGTGAAATGTATACATTAGTATAAGCAAAAAGTCCTAATAAACATAGGTAGAGGTCCTTCTTTTTCATTATACAGGGTGTTGCAGAAGTAATGGTACACAATGTAATGAAGAAATTGTTGTTATTTTATCCGGGCAGCAGCCAAATAAACTCGCAAGTTTACTTACAGCAATATGTGTATGTGCTTTAATGAGCAACTCAGGTAGTACAGGAACGGTATTAATCAAAGAATTGTAACATTCAGAATGAATAAAAGAAAACGTAAGTATTACAGCGTGTAAGCGCATGGAAATCCGAAAAACAGTACAATAACGGAAACGGAAACAACTGGCAAAGAGAGGGTGAGCACACACAGTGTGTCAAACCTAGACATAGAAAAGAAAAATTAACAAGCCAGGAAACTACATAAACTCAATCAAACTTATGTCTAGGGAAACTCAGATGGCGCAACGTAACTTAAGCAATATTACAACAGAAATGTACACACTTGTAGAAGCAAAAAGTTTCAATACACATAGGTAGAGGCATACCTCTTGAATATGGCGATGACCGGTAAAAGGTTTTTAATTTTTAATTATTTTAGAAATGTGTGGTTGCTGTAACTACTGCAAATTTTCTTTAATAATGATTTTAAAAAATTCCAAATGCCAAATGTAAAAAAAAATAAAGAAAACAAAATATTAAAAAATAAATTCTGGCACGTCCGATATCTTGACAATAAATAAAAGGGGACTTTAGTGTTATTAGTGTTATTATTTTTTGTTTTTATATTATGATTATAATTTCATATTTTGGCAGCTATATAAATTTTATGTTAAATTATGAAATTTACATATAATCGGGTAATATGTACTAATATGAAAACGCGATCTGAATGTATTGATATTGTAAAGATATCAAAGAGTCGTGAAACATTTCGACCCACTTCAGGTCTTTTTCAGTGGCAAATATTACCATTTTGACACAGATATATTATTACGGATCCCTAAAACCCGCATATACTTAGTTTGGTACAATAATATTCAATACCTTACAATTTCCATATTTCTGATAACCATTTTGATTCCACCATTTTGAATCAAAGGTCTAATTTAAAAAAAGGGCACGATTGTAGAGCAATTTATAACGAGTAAATTGAAAAAAAGCATTAAAATCGGTTGAAAATTACACTGTCCAGCGATTTTTGTCCAAAAAGTGTGCCTTTTTTCCCACTGTGCGTCGCCTCGTGAGACGATCGGGCATGCGCGAGCGGCGCTCATGCGGCGCTCCACGATCTAACCCGGCTGATGCTGCCATCACGCCGGTGACGAACTGAACGAGATTCAAATGAATCTCGAACATTCCGCCCGCCATCAGCAACGTTGTTGATGATCCCTGATCTTATGATGAGCTTGGCAGAACGGAGAGCTTGATCACTGGTCGGACGAGAGTGGTAGTGGCTGTCTTCAAAGTCACCACCCGCACGAGTCAATCCTTCCCCGGGTGTAGGGCAGTGATCCGGGCTAATGGCCATTTGCATGGTGGTAGCCGCTCGTCGGTGATGAGAACCAATGATCCGATCTTGATATCATTGTTCTTGTGGTGCCATTTTGAGATGGCTTGTTGGCGTTGTAGGTAATGCGATGGCCATTGTGTCCAAAAATGTTGTGCCTTTTGCTGAATGAGTTGCCAACGTGAGAGTCGTGAGATTGCCAGGTCAGTGAGTGATGGCTCTGGTATGGCGGTGAGTGGACTTCCTACGAGGAAGTGACCTGGTGTGAGTGCTGATGTCTTCTGGATCGTCACTCAATGGTTCGAGAGGTCGTGAGTTGAGAATTGCCTCAATTTGAGTGAGCAATGTGGTGAGCTCCTCAAAGGTGAGCACGTTTTCTCCAATGGTGCGCCGTAGATGATATTTTATTGATTTTACGACGGACTCCCATTTTCCTCCCATGTGAGGTGTTGCTGGGGGATTGAATTCCCATCGAGTGTTGTCTTGCGAGAGCAGGTGTGAGATTCGCTGGTGTTCTTGAGTGCTCTGGATAAACAGCCTTTTGAGGGCTGTATCCGCGCCGATGAAATTGGTGCCGCAATCCGAATGCAAGGTGTGAGCAATGCCGCGTCTGGATGAGAAGCGTCGATAGGCGGCAATGAATCCTTCTGTTGAGTAGTCACTAACCGCCTCTAGGTGTACTGCTGAGGTTGAGAAGCAGACAAAAACGCAAATCCAGCCTTTACTGGTCTTGGCACCTCTTCCCTTCCACGTTTTGACGGTGAGTGGCCCTGCGTAGTCCACACCTGTATGAGTAAACGGTCATGCCTGCGTAACCCGAGAGAAGGGTAGTTGGCCCATCAGTTGACGAACACGGATTCCCCTCTGCCGAGCACACGTGACACACCGCAGAATGTGAGACTTAACAGGAGCCCTTCCGCCGAGAATCCAATACTGTTGTCGGATGTGCGAGAGCGTAAGCTGCGTGTCTCCATGTAGAGTCCGTTGATGAGCGTGAGCGATGATCAATGATGATAGATGAGAGTGACGAGGCAATATTGCAGGATGTTTCGTATCGAATGAGAGAGCTGCGTGAGCGAGTCGTCCGCCGACGCGAATGACTCCTTGAGCGTCGATGTACGCAGTTAATAGGTTGAATGCGTGTGCCTTTGCCAACGGTGAATCAGATTGTAACGCCTTGAGCTCGTGAGAGAAGTACGTTGCTTGAGTTGCCTGAATCCAGAAGAGCCTCGCTTTCTCCAAGGTCTCTGGAGAGATGTGTCTAACAGGCAATCAGTCGTGGACCTTCCTCAATCGTGAGACGAATCTGAAACAAAGAGCTGTAATCCTCAATAGTTTAGTGAGGCTTGAGTACCTGTAGATGAGTTTCTAGTGATAATCAGTCCTTGACGTATCCGTCAATAAAGAAACGCCGGGGCGAGCTTCTGATGCACTCAATTCTTCGGAGAGTGCTGGTTGGGACGGCCATGAGTCTGGTTTAAGTATCCATGATGGTCCCGTCCACTAAAGTGAGTGGTTTTGAAGTTGAGCAGTCGTGAGGCCTCGTGATGCGCAATCTGCCGGATTGGAAGTTCTAGGGATGTATCTCCAGTGAGCAGCTGGAGTGAGTTCTTGAATTTGAGCCACCCTGTTTCTGACAAAATCCTTCCAGTGTGATGCATAGGATCTGATCCATGAGAGTGTCACGAGAGAGTCCGTCCACAGGTGAGTTGTCGTTAAGTCCATGTTTAAAGTGGCTATGACGTATTGCATGAGTCGAGAAAGCAGTAGAGCAGCCGTGAGTTCAAGTCGCGGGATAGAGAGCCGCTTGAGAGGTGCTACCTTAGTCTTGGAGCACACAAGTAAAATCGTGGCGCCGTTTGAGTCGTGAACGGAGATGTATATGACTGCAGCCATTGCCAATTGAGAAGCGTCAGAGAAGCCATGCAGTTCCACAGAAGAGTTGCTCCAGGTGTTGAACCACCGAGGTATTGAGAGCTTGGCCAAGCCTGTGAGTTCTTCTCTGAGGATGAGCCACCGGGTTGAGAGCTGGGATGTCGGTGGGTCATCCCATTGGAGCTTGTGCACCTACAGCTCCTGCAAGAGAATTTTGGCCTTGATCACGACGGGTGATGCAAAGCCAAGTGGATCGAAAATCTGAGCCACTTCAGATAAGACGAGGTGTTTTGTGAGTCTGCCTTCACTGCGTGAGTTCCGTGTTGAGAATGCAAATGTATGTATCTTGTTGAGGGAGCCATTTGAGTCCGAGTATCTTGGTTGTGCAATCGTCAAAGGTGATTGGTAAGCCTTGGTCTTGGCTGTCGGTGACAGTCTTGATGATATCGAGATGATTG